ATGCATTTATATGCAGTACGTATGCACTCAACAGTTAGCAAATAAAACATATTGACTTAAGATAACATATTGACCTAAGATATGGATTTAGGCAATTGAATACAAATGTGCATGTGTACTTGAAAACAACCCCATATCACATGTAGCATAACAAGATCGGAAATGAACATTTACTAAACTGATCATTGAGATATTTGTACATACATATTTATATTTACGACTGTAGCCGTTAAGAACTGTTCAGAAATCTGAACAAATAGGTATATAGGAGTAATCACGTTAACTGTATTTTATCAATATGCATTAGATTATATACACAAATTTTTTAAATGAAGTAAATATTAAATGAAGTATGTTAATATTTTATTTCTAATTTTTAAATCATTAATTGGGATTTTGTAAACGAATTTCATGGGTTCGCGTGAAAAAAAAAATATTAGTATACGATTAGGGAAAATTGTCGACTATGGGAGATTTTTCCATGTGAAATTGAGCGTTCACGCGATGCAGGGAACGTTTATCATAGACAGAGATAAACTGTTCTCTGTCATAGAGTTGAGGGAGTTTCACCACAGACAAATTTTAAGCGTGTTTCACCAGAGTTTTGCAGCAGGGGACTCAAAAATAGCAGAATTGAGCATTTTCGATGTTAAATAAGAAATATAATGCTAATTTCAATGTAAAGAAATCTAGGCATACTGATTCATTTACATATTTTCTATGCGTAACCGACACGGTATATAACTTATAGATTATCGGCAAAACATCAGAAAGTTGTTTAATATATGATTTTTAGCTTTTGCCGCCGTCGTGTTTGCTTTTATGAATGAAGAAAGTTTGCCTGTTGAGAGTGCGCTTGCGTTCATGATTGAAAATGTTGTTGCATGTTTTTCTACAAATTTGGGTACCGACTATTTCGGTGCCATATTGACTTGTGCCGGTGTTGATTCTATTTTGAGACAATTGTTGTTTTTGTTGAACAATGCTTGTAATTTTTGAGGGTAACATATCTACATGTGTACGCATATCTATGTTTTTTGTTTTTTATTTTCGTAGGGAAAATCTTCAAAGATATCGTCATTTTTCCGGACGATATGTACGATTCGTATTGGCCGCACGCCCAAGCAGGACTTGCGACACAGTACGCCTACGTACGAAACCCTGAACTCCGTCGCCTTTGCTTGTATTTAGCCCGCGGAATTGCCGTTAGGCATTACATAGTGGGACCAAGCTTRGCCATTCGGCTCTTCATTCACACATTTTCGCTCTAATTCCGATTAATTTTTCTGTTTTCGCTGTGTTACCACTCTCTCTTTCGTAACTCTTGCATAGCTATGGCTGCCCACGCTCTCATTTTGTCCCAGATCGCCTTCGATTCGATCATGTACGGCACTATATTCTCCGGTGTCACGCGATCTATTCATGGTTGTATGCTCTAATAAGCCTGTGAGTGCATCTCTCCGTAGTTGCTTCGTCCCATCGTTTCTGCCATTCGTGCAGTGCTTCTCGTTTTGTCGAATACTCGCTTTATTTCCATCGCCATTATGTCTGGTGACATGAGGCCTGATATGACTACAGCCGCCTGATGTGATACAGTGCGGTAGACAAATGCAACTCTGATTGCATTTAGTCGTACTATTGATTTTACCTTTTCTGCGTATGTTTTCTACTTCATCGATATTCCCCATATGGGTGTAGCATACGTAAGTATAGACCGACTCACTTTGGCCAAGAGGCCTCGTTTATTCTGACTTGGTCCACCAATGTTAGCCATTATCCTCGTTAGGGCCGCCGTCACCCCAGATGCTTATTCACAGTTTTGTCTATGTCTATATACGTCTTGTAACTTAACCTCGAGTCTATCATCACTCCTAGATATCTCAGAGATTGCTGTGTGGTAATGATACATCCGTCAATATTGAGTGTGATTAATGCTTGTGATTAGTACTGCTTCTTTCTTTTGGCCAGCTAGTTGAAGCTTTGTCACCATAAGACATTCCTTGATTTTTTCCGCTGCATGATTGCACAGACGCTCTATTTCGTGAATTTCTTTCGCTACCAGTCACCGCGATGTCATCCGCGTATCCAATTATTTACACCTGGTTGGGTAATGGGAGGCGCAGCATTCCGCCTGTCACCATATAGCGTTGTTGTCCTTTGTCTGTGTCGTATAGCAGAACCCTATCCGACAGGTAGTTGGAGATGATCTTCAGCAAATATTGTGGTGTTTTCGTTAGAGAGCTTTTATTATATGAGGCCAGTACGCCGAATTAAAGGCATTCTTAACATCGAATGTGACCACCGCACAGTACTCTTTGGAGCCAGATATCCTTCTAAAGCTTTACTTGCGACGTCAGTAAGATTTTAATTGCGTCAATTGTTGACCTGTGTCTGCGAAATCCATATTTGTTATCGGCCAGTCCCGGTTGCTCTTTTTCGAGATGTTACTCCAGGCGTACGCTTATTATTCGCTCTAGTATTTTTCCAACCGTGTCTAGCATGCACAGTGGTCGGTACGAGTTTGGTTCTCCAGGCTGTTTGGTTTCTCCTGGTTTTTGTATTAGAAACCAAACGTTGCATTTTCCAAATTTTTAGAAATAAGCCTTCTCACTTTGCGAACAGTCTTGTGAACGAGTCAGTGTTGTGTTTAAGGGCAATATTTAGGGTCTTGTTAGGACCCTACTACCTATTTGTCAGTGGCTGTCATGCGATCTTATTTATGTACATATGTACATATGAGCAGCGCGCATATTTTATTATTGATAAGTGATAATATGATTTGAGTTCGCGAAAGCGGAAATAAACACATATGGTCGTGATACATGTGAATATAAGCTTTAAATGATAAAATATACGATTCATGCAAATATAATTTTTTTAATATATTATGATAATTTGATATATACATACATATATAATGAAGTATTATATGTGACCTGGTCTACGGAAAGAGGGCTTGGGTGTCAAAAAATMCAAAAAATCAATTTTCACTTTTTAGTTGATTCGAATGGAAGATGAGATTTTTAACAGTTGTTTCCCAGAAAACTAGTTTTAGCACCTTAGGTCCCTTTTCGTAGACCAGGTCACACATAATAAGTGTAGCGATGCTTACGTTAAGGTCGAATCAGAGAACATAAAAGAATGAGAAGGTGCAATAAATTTTGTATGATGCTCGTTTCCTGGGTTATGATCTGAAAAACCACGAGTAAGGAATTCACCATTTATTAAAAACGACTGTTTGCATATAGAAAATCGTCGAAAAAAATTGGAAGAAGTTAAACAGAAAATATAAATGTGAACTGACATATGCGTTTTTCTAATATGTACGAATTTTTATAAATAATTGTAAGAAATAATATTTTTACACAACTGTGGTATTGGTAGTAGGCGAAATGTTGGGGAAAAAGTGATTTTCTTACCTTTTCAATAATTTTTGCCTATTTTAGTGTTCCAAATTCAATAGTGCAAATCCTTTCGTTTTTATCCTTGTGGCTTTTATTTTTACAGGTTTATATGCAATCATATCTTCTAAGCATATTTAACACAAAATGCGCTAAGTCAACGAAAACCATTATACAATATGTGGCAGGGGCGGATCCAGAGAATAATTTTAAAGGGGGGGGGGGGTTGCTTTAACTATATAATTTTGTATTTGCAGCCCAAAGTCTTTTTCTTCGCGGAGTATCACTTATGCTGGAAATAATGTATAACTTTTTGTTGTTGGGGTGGATCCACGCCTTAAATATGGTAGTTCGTCATCAATATCAACAAATTAACAAAATTAATATAGTAATTTAATATCCCGTTAACAAATTAAAAAGTTCAAAGTTACATTTTCTCAATATCAGACATTTTGAAACAAATTTAATATCGGGTGACCTTTCCCGCTCGCGTTGCCAACATACTTCGTTTTTAAGCGAAATGCGTTTATTTGTCCATGATTCAGCTATTAGTTGTGGTAGTCAAATAAAACACTCCAGAAGCTCCAAGTCCTTACATTGGGTACATGGGGTATTGACCCAATTCTAACCGTTTTTGACATTACGGCATATTATTACTAAAGGTTTCCTGCAAAAAGTTCGCAGAGTTACTAATCTACAGGAAGGAAGCGTTGAAAACTGTTACCAAGCAAAATAAGAGCTCGCAAAATCTTTGGGAGTCACTAAAGCATCTTTTTGAAACATTACGTTATTCTAAATGCAAAATATGGTATCGCCGGTGAAATCAACGAGATGGTCGAATATCCATGGTACCAGGTAATAGCTTGTATTGGGTAAAATCAAGAAGTTTTGAATAAAACCAAGAAAAACCTTGAAACTGAAGAATATGATTACCTAGAGTTCACAACTAGATATGAGGTCATAATTAAATATGCCAACATTCCGCCACATGTTGAAAACCCGGTTAAATACAGAACTATTAGAACATAGGCTGAGAAGTTTTGCTTTAACCTCCTTATAGACCACATCTAGTCCTTTCTGACTACTAGTTGTTCCGGTCGATGTAGAACGCCCTCAAGATCAAGGGTATCAAAAATTGTTCTGATTCATTCACAAATATATTTATAGACCCAACACTGCAGAATCTTTCCAAAATCAAATCTAAATAATAATATGTGTAAGAAAATGTATCCATTTTGGCATAAATCTCTGTTGACTTGCTCCAAATTTATATTAATTGACAATTTAAAGAAACTACATTTCGCTGTTGGGTACAAAATTAATTGTTCTTAATATAATAATATCAGTGCAAAATTCTTCATCTTTCATCATGTCAATATGTACTACATAAATTTAGTCGATTCATACAAGTATTCTTAGTTGATGATATAATGCATATATGTACATACAATATGTATAAAGGTATAAATTTGTAATTTTATTTGGATATGGGAAACATATAATATATAACATACATCAAATATAGTATTTATGTGTTATATTACTACATACTATTTTATGTACTTGTTCAATCTCTAATTACAATTTTAATTTTTTCAGTTTCAAACAAGTAAAATAGAGAGTATATATTTAGAAGGACGTCTACTAAATTCTGGAGATAAATCGAAGATGGAATATAATGGAAGTATTAAGCTTAGATCTTCAGCACATCCAAAACTAAATTTTGCATCAAATGCAACTTGGCGATCATTGAAGGGCCACACTGAAGGTATTTTAAGTTTCAATAATGCTCAAGGCTTTAAAGATCCAAACTCCACAACTATTTGGCATTTAATACTGTCGCGCTCCTACTCCGAAGAAAATATTTGGGAAGGTTCTCGTTCGTATGCTCGCTTCAATGTCAAGATTCCTCGCTCTAAAGTCAACTTTAAACTATTTGTCAAGTAAATTAATTTGAGATTTATAAATAATTACACAAAAACTTTCTATATTTAATTTAAGACACGAAGAGCGATATAAAAATGGCAGTGAACACAATATTTTGGCTGAAATTCATTTAAGTCCAGAAAAAGAGGCCTTGCTTCTGTTTTCTGTACTAATTCCCCAAAGCGATCTGCTTACATTCGATGCTTCTTTCAATATTACTGCTTCGAAGTTCAACTCAAGTTTTGGACGCTTGAAATTTATGGAAACTGTTCCTAAATCTTATTTGGTGAGTTTATTGGTTACTATTCATGATGCTATAGAAATGTATTCGTACATATATATTGTACAATTACAATTATATACTTCGATCGGTCAAAGAAGCGAATGTTTTTCCTTTCTCGTACTCTGAAAAATTGGTTGATGGACACTTCTAAGAAAGCTTTTCCCTCCTAATGATTCCATATTTTTTTCTTGTTATCTTATAGAAAAATTTGTATCTTGCTTCCAAAATTAAAAATAAAAAACCTTTGGTTTTGTGGATTTTGAATGCTCATCAAGAAATGAGTTTGAATATTTTAAAGAAAAAATAATGTTTCTTATGATTTTGTAGCTCAACGAAAAAAAATTATTAAATAGCAAACCAGAAAACTCCTAGTTTTGTATTAAATTTACTGCTCTACAAAACTGGCTAGCTATTTTGTATTTTTATACTCTTGCAACATGTTGCTCCAGAGTATAATGGTTTTGTTTACCTAACGGTTATATGTAGCACATAAAATTAAGTGAGATATATATAGGGTTATACAAGGTGCGTTCCAAAGTAAACAGTTATCCAGCGCACACTGGTAGCGCCATTTATATGTCGATTGGTGCGTAAGAATCTGCTATCTTTATCGATTTTCCATTGAGAATGACATTCATGACATTTCATCGGTTGGAGGTGAAATTATTGCGTTTTCAGTGTCAGTATGTTTGTGTTATCCGTGCGAAAATGAGTTTCGAACAAAGAGCCGACACTAAATTTTGTTTTAAAATTTGTAAAACTTTTACCGAAACGTTTCAATTGATTACAAAAGTTTATGGCGATGATTGCCTTTCCCGTAGCAAAATGCATTAGTGTTTTCAATGGTTTCAAAGCGGTCAATGACGATCAAGATGTGGGCTAATCAAAATCTGTGATAACCGGAAATTCCATCGAAACTGTGCATGAATTCATCAAAAAACAGCCGAAATCATTTTGAAATTCATGGAAATGGAGTTGAACATCTCCAAAACATCGATTTATCGCATTTCGACCGATTTGCGCTACAAATTGACCAAAAATGGTTTAGAATCCAACATTCGAAAACGTCCTTTACAATATTGTGACTGCTGACGAAACGTGGTGGGTGGGATACGAAGAGTGCTAAATGGAAGGCACCGGCCGACACCAAAACCCAAAAAATCGCGAATGAAGAAGTCAAAAGTGAAAACAATGCTGGTTTATTTTTATGATTCCAAGGGTATTGTCTACAAAGAATTTGTTCCACCCAGCAAAAATGTTAATGCGGTATTCTACCTTGGAGTTTTCGGTCCGAATATCGGGAAGATGAAAGTTTGCGTTTGTTGAACGATAATGCACCGTCTCATCGTTCGATCCTTGTGACCGATTATTTGACCAAAAATCACATTTTAACAATTAACCACTCACCGTATTTATCTGATATGGCACCGTGCGACTTCTTCCTTTTCGAAAAAATGAAATGAAGTCCATGAAAGGAAACCGTTATGCAGACGTACAGGCCATTCAAAAGACTTGCACCGGCATACTTGCGGCCATACCGGCCATCGAGCTAAAACACTCGTTCGACATGCTTTTGGACCGTGCAAAAACTGTATTGACGCGGAAGGGAACTATTTTGAATAAAATAAAATGATTTTGCCAAAAAAAAAATATGTTATGTTTTTTTAAGTCCTGTTTACTTTGAAACTTACCTTAGAACGCTGACGAGTTGAGTCTGTCTGTCCGTTCGTCCAGCCCTGAAAGCAGTGATTTGAGTAAAAACCAAAATGAATCTTCATGAAACTTGATACACATGTTCCTTGGAAACAAAGTAAGGCGAAGTTTGCAGATGGGGCCACTGTCACGACCACAAAACTCCATAAACCGAAAACTAATAACGAGCCATAACTAAGCGTTAAAATACTATATGTGACCTGGAGCTAACGTGCGAAAAGGGAGCTAACGTGCGAAAACTAGTTTTCTGGGAAACAGCTGTTAAAAAAAAAGCATCTCATCTTCCATCCGAATCAACTAAAAAGTGAAAATTGATTTTTTGACACCTAAGCCCCCTTTCCGTAGACCAGGTCACATATATAGAACTCTTATTTGACACAAGAGAATGTGGGCTAAAAAATACAAACGTTGAAAAAGTGACAATGGTGTCGCCAAATTCACTTATTATCAATGCCTTAAGCAGTAAAATTGGATGAACTCGGAAGATATCCTAGTGCACTCCTTATGTAACGGTGTCGTTAAAAACTACTAAAAGTGCAAAAAATATTTGCTTGTTTTCAAAAATTTTCTTACTGTAGGAGTAATTGGATTTAAAGTTAAATATGGATTCAAGTTATTTTTACATAATTTAATATAAAACAAATGTCAAGAAGCGAATTAGTGAAGAGTTAGTGGATATGAAAATTAAAGAAATAAAAGTGTAAAATTCATTATAATATATTGGAAAATTTAAAATTATGTTTTTTTCATTGCGTTATAAAATTCGATAAAAAAATTTAAAATTTCTTTAAAATATTTACCGTTAATATCTTTAAACTGGTTTTGTCTACAAAAAACCGTGGTGGACCATTTTGTAGGCTTCTCTACTTAATATAAAATCTACGAAACGAAATACTTTTTCAAGTAGTTAGAGGGGAGATATAAATTTGTCTGTTTGATAATAAGACACAAATTTAAAACCCTTAAGCGGAGGGCCTTCTCGTTACAATTGAGAGCGCATACTTCAAGAGCCTTTCATAGAGGTATCTCTCAACCAATTTTTTAGAATACTCAACAAAAAAAAYAAAACATTTTTTTGACCCACCCTAATGTATATGCATAATATATGACAATTATTGTAACATACAAGTATATATGCGCAATTGATATTGCTACTTAACAAATTGAATCAAGAAATAATATAGACGATATTTTAAGTTGAGTTAGGTGCTTTAAACTATAAATTTGAGTAATATTAGCATAACGATAGAATTAGATTATTTATATATATGATCGGAGTGACGAGAAAAGTCAAAATCCGGTTGACTGTCTATCTGTCGGTCCGTCCGTCTGTGGAAGCTGTAACTTGAGTAAAAACTGAAATATATTGATGACGCAGTTTCTTAGTACCAAGAAAACTACGAGTTCGTAGATGAACGTAATCCGAACATTGTCACGCCCACAAATCGGTATTAACCAAAAATCTCTAAAGTACAATTACTAAGCACAAAATTAAGATATAGAACTCTAATTTGGCAGAGTCGATCACAGTAGCGAAGGGCCCCTATATGAAAAAAGTTTAAAAAGTGGGCTTGGCCCCGCTCCCTACTAAGTTTAATGTATATGTCTCCTAAACCACTAAAGCTGAAATAACTAAATATGCCCAACACGAATACTACAAGAATTCCTACCGATAGAGTGAAAATGCATGAAAAACCAGCTCTCTCCACATATAACGGTACTGTTCAAAACTACCAAAAGCGCRAATCAATAACCAGAAACTTAAACATTTGCCGCCGGGATGCTATAGCAAGACTTTATAGGAGCCGGGTTAAAACTTGGACGATGGGCGTGGCACCGCCCACTTTTTGGTGTAATCCCTTATCTAAGGATTAGACCAACTGAATTCTACAAAATTTGGTACGTGGCATTCTTTTTATAATCTTATCCCACGTATGAAAATGAACGAAATTGGATAATAACTACGCCTACTTCCCATATGGCACATTTTTAAATTCTACTTGATTATTTTACTTCCAGTACATAAATCAAGAAGCAATTAATATAACGGAATTAAACTTTGTACTAATAATGTTTTTAGTGTGTGCCACTTTATGGCAAAATATTGTTCAAATCCTACAAAAACAAGATAAAATATTAACACATTTTTTTTTTTAACGTAATAAGCAAGTATTATATTCTATATTTCTTTCATATCATTGCTAACTTTATTTTGCGGTAAACATTTTTAATCTTCACAGATTCATTTTAACGGTGCTTGGTTCACAGAAGACTACATTGTAATTRAAGTTAACTATAAAAACCATAACCGGCTACAGGCGCTGAAAATGTTGATAGAAACKGATAGTTTTGAAGCTACAACAATAAACGCTGCGTACCGAAGAACCCAAACATTCACCTTTAGTAATTTAAAATTTAAATATGGCAACGATCTATATGACTTTGCTATGCAACTTAATTCTCAACCTGACAATGTTAAACCCGCTATTTGTGAAATACATATAAACTTAAAGGAAAAAAAGTACTGGCTTAATTCCAGTTTGCTAATGTCACAGCCAAAACTGTGGGAAGTGGAAATACATATGGATAGGTAAGTATATGTATTATGTTTATTTTTAATGTTTTATTAAAAGTTTACATTCTATTTACACTATTTGTGTGTTAGTATGTGTATAAAATGGTATCCTTGGATCCTTGGATCGCATTTTATCCATTTTTGATAGAAGACCATTTTATTATTAGTACTGAAAATTAGCACTGAAGTTCGCAAATTTCGTATCTAAGGATTGGGAAGCTATGGTCCAATTGCAACAATTTTGAGACCATGTACTTTATTGGCACTGTTTGTGCAAAATTTAATTCCAATATCTTCACTCGTGATAGATTTGTTTTTTATGAAGTAAAAAGATCAGATGAAAATGTGATATATGGAAAGTTGGCAACATAAGAATTTCAAGGCAATGTTACCATATGTACCCAAGATGGTTGAAATTAGTCGAATCGTTCTGTTTTCACCAAAGAGGCCACTCCCTTCGGCCAAGTTTCCACCTCTCATTTTTGAAGTTGCACACTTATTAAATGTTTTTATACTACAGTTGAGATTCGTATGGGCCTTCTTGAACTCCTGACTTTACAATGCACACGATCACATTCGATCCGTACCTGTCCATTTAAACTGCTTGCGCAAATCGATACAAATACGAGTATTGGAAAAATGGATTGGTGTAATATTTTTGCGCTTTTTTGGTGGAGATTTTTTCCACTTTTAATTGTATTTGGACTTTGCGTGTAATAACACTGAATTCCGTTACAACTATGTACATTTATTACGTACATTAAATTCAAGTATTGAAGTGGAAATAACCTTTGATATCATCCGTTTTATTTTGTTGAGTTCGAAATTTGAAGATTTATTTCAAATGAATTTTGTAATACTTATCTTTTTATACTCTTGCAACTAGTTGCTGTTCACGTAACGGTTCTACGAATCACCTAAAATTAAGCGAGATAGGTATAAGCTTATATTTAAATGATGAGGGTGACGAGAAAAGTTGAAATCCAGTTGACTGCCAGTCTGTCCGTCCGTCCGTCCATGCAAGCTGTAACTTGAGTAAAAATTGAGATATCCCAATAAAACTTGGTATGTGGGTTCCTTAGTACAAACCGTCACGCCCACAAATCGATATTAAGGGAGAACATATAAGGGATCATAACTAAACACTAAATTAAGATATAAAGCTGTAATTTAATACAGAGCAAGGGCATCCGTATTCAAATTCTTTTAAAGAAGTGGGCTTGGTCCCACCTTCTAACAAGTATAATGTACATATCTCCTAAACTACTTAAGCTACAACAACCAAATTTGTTCAGTACAAATCTTAAAAGAACTTCTACGGACAGTGTGAAAATGGATGAAATCGGATGACGACCTCGCTCACTCCCAATAAAACGGTTATATTCTTATGCTACAATGCGTTATGTTAGAATAGGTTCCGAATATTTAGACCCCGGTACCTATAGTTGGCTTTTGAAATCCTTCTCTTATAATGGTGTATCTGTATGTCAAAAATAAACTGAACCGGAAAAATACTTACTTTAATGTACTTAATGTAAAGATTTTCGAGCTTCCGGTTGACTTTGTACCGCATATATCGGCCAATATGTTAGTTATCCCAATGAAGATAAAGGGAGCGGCTTTTACTCACAACAGTATATCTTTATACGTAAAATAGATAAATTTGAGCGAAAACTTTACCTATCTAATATATAACTAATAACAGAATTTTCAAACATTTAGCTAACTTTACTCTTATGATTCGTTTACAAGTACAAAGAAAAGTCCAAAAACTGTTTTATATCATGAATAAAGGATATGGTCGTACACGAAATAATGTTCACTTGTATGTATGGCATGTCGATACGGCTGTCCAATGTAGAAAATACGAGAGCATTTAATCGCTCATTTCGTACAATGAAGAAACATTGCAATAGGGTGTGTAATGCACGGAAAGATTTGTATGGCAATTACCTGATTCGTGATACAAGCATATGAATATGTAATGATGCAACTGGAAGTGATGTTGCAGTTATATTTTCGACTGTAGACGTTACGATCAATGAGAGAAATATGATATAATTATTTTTCAAAAAGAAATGTAGTGGTTAAGAATGTATCAGTACAGTGTCTCGTGAAAACTCTAACCAATAAAAACCATACTTGTTCGAGTTAACGAGTTGTGCGACTCTTCGTTGCATGCAACGTTGCGTTGCCAAACAAAGCAAAGTTTTTTGAGGTAATAAAGTAATTAATAGAATAAATTTTTTGGATAGAGTTGGTATCACTAGACTGATTTTTATTAAAAAGTGGTTGTAGCCACCGTTACAACAGCGTTCAAGTCGTTCTTCCCTTTCGCTGTTTGACGTCAATTGAAGATTCCAAGCTTAAATAGGTCCTTCTGCACCTGGTCTTTCTAACGGTCCCCTCCTCTTCCTCTGCATTTCCCGACGGATACTGCGTCGAATACTTTCAGAACTGCAGTTTTCTTTTACTTCTGGACAACATGGCCTAGTAATCGTAGACGATGTCTTTTTATTCGCTTAAATTTATCAATACCGTCGTAGAACTCGTAGCGCTTATTGTTTCATCGAATGCGATACTTGCCGTGGCCAATGCGTAAAGCACTACAAATCTTTCGCAGAATATAAGATATTTTCGAACAAAAGAACAAGGGGTTCATATATTCGGTAACTAAAAGCATAGCACGAATCAACAAGTAAAAACAAAGAAACACAAAATCAAACAAACAATAATGAGTGCTTCGCAGGCTCATCACCAAGGCCGTAGGCATTCCTAAACTGCCTACTTCAGCTTTGTCGACCCAATAACAACCAAAACTACTGGCGATAAAAAGTGTAACGGCGACGATTAGTCATCGCGGCGATCAGCTGAAAAGAATACAGTCAGCAGAATCAGCCGAAAACAACAATCGGGCAACAACAAATGCCTTGACAGCAACCAGTATATAGGTACCAGCAAAAGCGCAGGCGTGGTTGTGAACCGATTTCACCCATATTTGGTACATATCATTAGGGTGTTAAGGAAATATTATACACCGAATTTCATTGAAATCGGTGGAGTACTTCCTGAGATATGGTTTTTGGTCCATAACTGGGTGACGCCACACCCATTTTCAATTTTTAAAGAAAGCCAGGGTGCAGCTTCCTTCTGACATTTCTTCCGAAAAATTTAGTGTTTCTGACGTTTTTTGTTAGTCGGTATGTACTATGTATAACTGTATATGGCCTAAAAGAAACGACTCTATACAGTTTGGGGCGTGCCAGTGATTTTGCCCATCTTCGAACTTAACACTGTTATTTATCCAAGGAATACGTGTACCAGCTTGCACGGACGGACGGACAGACAGACATCCGGATTCAACTCTACTCGTCACCCTAATCACTTTGGTATATATAACCCTATATCTGACTCTTTTAGTTTTAGGATTTACAAACAACCGTTATGTGAACAAAACTATAATACTCTCTTTACCAGCTTTGTTGCGAGAGTATAAAAATGCAGCCATTACGGAGGAAATCACACTGCTAACAACAAAGGTTGCCCTGTATATAAAAATTTTAAATCGAAGTTATCACAGGGCATTCAAGCAAGTCGTAACCTGTAACATTTGGTTACACCCCGTAATGAAATTATAGCAACCTCAGAAAAAAGTTCAAATCCTATTACTTCTAACAATAATAATATGCAAGGAAGATATGCAAATGTGGGGAAAGGTAACACTGTGCAAATGCAACTGCCGCAAAATCCTCCAAATGAAATGAAATGGTATTAAAAATATGATTATAAATCTTACAACTACATGATCCAAGATTGAATAAAATCACAAAAGCAAATGCTGCAAAATTTATTAAGTAAACAGTGAGCATACTAAATATCTGTGAATGGAATGCTAACGGTGTTAACCAACATAAATTAGAGATTATCAGATTTCTGTCTGAAAAGAATATAGATGTAATTCAGAAACGTATCTAACAAATTAAAATAATTTTAATATACCGGCATTTAGACTATATGTTACAAATCATTCCGATGGAAATGCGCGTGGTGGCACGGCAGTGTTGATTAGAAATCGTTCAAACTACTATGCTATAGAATCTCATGCTACACCACAGTTACAAGCTACAACAATATCACTAAAAAATCGGGGTTTTGACTTAAACCTTGCGGCTATATACCGTCCAATGCTTTTTTGGAACACTAGGTCAAAGATTTCTAGCAGGTGGAGATTACGACGCAAAGCACACGTACTGGGGCTCACGTCTTATCAACCCGAAAGGACGACAATTGTATCAAACTGTTGTAAATAAGCACAATAACCGTGAAATAATATCTCCTGGTAAGCCGATATATTGACCTAATGATCGTAAGAAAATACCAGATTTAATTTATTTTGCTGTAATCAAAAATATAGACAAATCGCACATAACAGCTGTAATCAAAAATATAGAGAAATCGCACATAACAGCCGATACATGTACGAATTTATATTTTGATCACTCTCCTGTAATAATAAAGTTATGTGAACAACCCATATTCGTTAATCCAAAAGTGGGTCTAACTTCTTATAAAACGAATTGGTTAATATAAAGAATACGTCAGTAGCCACATTAATATTGAGTACAAAATAAATACAGGAAGAGATATTGACGAAAGCATAAGAGAAGTCAAAGATATAATAACCAACGCAGCTGTCTTAGCAACACCAAACAAAAGCTATAATCCGCTTGGACTGAAATAGAAATGCTTGTAAATGAAAAAAGGCGTGCAGGACGTGAATGGCAGATGAATCGTTTACCTTCCACTCAGCTTCAATTAAACTCTGCTGTACGTAAATTTAAAAAAAGCGCTTAAACGTGAGGAAGAATTGGACACCGAAATGTATACAAAGAAGCTGTGTCCAAATTCAAGCAAGCAAAATCCCCTTTGGAAAGTACGTGAAGCCACCAACTGACTCCAACATGCCTATACGCTCGAGTCTCTTAAGACTTCACCTTCTGAAATTATTCGTATCATCAAAGAACTTAATCAAAAGAAGTCGCCGGGACATGATAATATTTCCCCAAAAATGCTAATTGAGTTAGCAATTATTGCTGCAGAGGTGCTCTCTTTGCTCTTCAATGCAATTCTTAGTTKCGGATATTATCTAATTTCATGGAAAAAGTCGCAGACTATCTCGATAGATAAACATGGGAAAGACTTAACACAGCGCCTTCATACCGACCAATCAGTCTTCTACCCTGTCTTCCAAAAGCATTTGAAAAAGTATTGCTATCAAAGATGTCTCCTGTCCTCCATGAAAATAATACAACACCAATGCATCAATTCGGTTTTCGTGCGAAACAAAAGAGCAAGTAAAAAGAATTACTAACGAGATAAGGAAAACATTTGAGCACAGGGAGTACTGTTCAGATTAAAAAAATTCTACCGTCAGAATTATATAAATCACTGGAGTCTTATTTAAAAAATGGAAAATTTATGGTAAAAGTGTGAGATTTCATATCTGATGAACGACAGATAAGAGCTGGTGTACCCCAGGGCAGTGTTTTGGCCCAACAGTATACATCATATATACAGCAGATCTGCCAACAGCTAATAATGTATTAACTTCAACTTTTGCGGACGACACAGCTGTAGTGAGCCGTAACAAATGTCATATTTTAGCACCAAGAATATTAGCGAAGCTATTAAGTTCTGTCGAAGAATGGCTAGCGAACTGGTGTATAAATGTGAATGATCAGAAGTGTAAGCATATTACAATTTCATTAAGATCAAAAATGTGCCCGGCAGTAAAAATAAACAATATTTTAGTACCCCAAGCGAACGAAGTGAGATATCTTGGTATTCACCTAGATAGAAGGAGAAAACACATCAATATTAGAACAACATGTATGAAACTTAGCCTAGACAACAAAGTGCTTTTCTATAATGCGGTCATAAAGCCTTTTGGGCATTTAAATTAAAACACCCCACTTATTACGATTGCGAATTATTATATATTGGACTTTTAATATGATTTATGGTATATTAAAACAACTGACTTTTGATCTTTCAATACTTAATAAGGCTTTAGTTCTCAATTAATAAATGTTTTTAATGTTAGTTTGTAATTGAAAATTAATTCTACAATGCATTAAATTGCAAAATGTTTCATGAAATATTTTTTAAATTTTGCATTTTCACTGTTTTAAATTTTTTAATGGCAATCTTGACCGGTGTTCACATATATTTTTGGTATAATTTCAATCTGGTCGTTCCAGGCATTCCAATTGCAAAACGTCAAAACCTACCCAATCCAGTCAACTGTCAAAGTTCGGTAGGTGMGCGATTCTCACATTTCCAGTGACAGGAGAGTTGGACATCTCTTTATCTCTGCTTAACTTTAGCTTAAGGGGTTACATAGGTTGCCTCGGATAAAAACCAGCCGCTTTGAATATTGTTTCTCATATAAAAAATATAATATTTTATTACAATTTTTTTCACAGACATACATTATTATCAAGGAAGTTATGAGTTTTTGGGAAAAAAAAAATTTTAACTCGGGCAATACGACGCCGTTTCCGGTGATCCCTGGTAAAAAAGATGCGCCTGTGATGGCAGGATACTTACAGGATCAATGTATCTGAAAGGCTTGTGTAAAATTTCATGAAAATCGGTTGAGTAGTTCTCGAAAAACTTTGCCAACTGACTTCAAAGTCAGTTTCGATAAATACGCGTTTGAAGAAGGCGCCTTGAGCTTAGCTTGCCTCGAGCGCACAAGTTCTTAAGGCTGTATCTCCGAAACTGCTACTCGGAAAATTTAGTACAATATATCTCTAGAGTAGAAGGAATTAGAGGTTTTAGAATTTAATAAGACAAAAAAAAATTTTTTTTGAATATATTTTTATAAAAGAAATATTTGTGATCTACATTTCTTATACAATAGCTTCGAAAATGTGTCTACAACCACGCCTACTTGTCATACAACTCAATTTTAAATGCCATCTGATTATTTCATGTTCCAGTGTACGAATTAATCACAAGTAAATGAATCGGGATGAAAGTTTTCACAACTACTATCTTTGAAGTGTGCCAACTTACGACAAAAACTTTGTAAGCCCCCAGGTACCAAATATTTGGCGCCCAGTTCCTATTGCGAACTTTTTATCGAAAATATCGGTCAATCTGTGAGATATGCTACGGAAGCTTAGAGAGTGTCCTGTGTCAAAAAATAAATGAATCGGATCAATATCTCCCTTATCCCCCATATACCTAACACAGAGAACTTCCGGTTGATTTTATAACCCATGTATCGGCCAATATGTAAATTAATTAATTAAATTCACTGAACTTATAATATTGGACATATGTACTATTGTTTAGAGCCGAAAATATATATGTGATATTGGATTAGGAATTACCTAACCTCCTATATACGAAATATAATAATTTTCGTTATTCTAATAAACCATGTCCTTAATCGGTCAGTTATATATTAATAAAACTGCTYAAAAATATTTTCTTGGATATACCTGTCAAAAGTTAGTGAAATCAGTACAGACCTTTACTTCCCATATATCCTATATACTGATTTGCGATTTTCCACCGGTCCTTAAATATTTAAGGTTTGTTAAAATGTTTGATATTTAAGCAAAATTAATTGGACAAGCTTTCTTAATAATTAAGTGGTTTAGCGCTTAATAAAAATGGAGTTGGCTAGCAGTTTTCGTCTAGGATATATTCTTTCGAGTATATATAGGAAACGATTGAAAGTCTCTTGCAGATAACAAAATTAATGTGTTTTACTTGTGTCAGATTTACACAGTGTCAAAGTGCATAAAATTTATTGATAACCAGGCCCACCCCACATATAACGGGCGACAAAAGCGTTATTTTCTTTGGTGTGAAATTGGACAAAGAACAGTGGAAGTTTAAATTAAACTCGGTGCCTAAGATAGACCCCATTTATCATTTAGCTTAAAGTATGAAAATGGAGGAAATCGGACCACAACTACGCAACTTGACAATTATAACACAATTTTAAATTTACCGCCTACTTCCTTTTCTTTACAGTATATAATAGAATATAAATTAAGCATCAATGAAGTTATCGAAGTAAACCCTAGCACAAAAAGCGCAATAACTTCTTAAGTCACCAGATATCGATATCGTAGAACTGAGTACCTATGACTAACCTCTTACAGAAAATATCGGTCAAATTGCGAAATGTATAGGAAATAAAAGTTACTGGCGTTCTGGGTGTTACCCCAAGAGGAATCGTCGGAGACCCTATAAAGTATATATATAAATGAGCAGTATGTTGAGCTGAGTCGATTTAGCCATTCCCGTCTGTCTCTCTGTCTGTCTGTATATATACGAACTAGTCCCTCAATTTTTTATATGTCCTTTGAAATTTTGTAAACGTCATTTTCTCTTCAAGAAGCTGCTTATTTGTGGGAACTGCCGATATCGGACCACTATAACATATAGCTGTCATACAAACTGAACGATCGGAATCAAGTTCTTATATGGCAAACTGTCACATTTGACAATGTATCTTCACAAAAGTTGGTATAGGTTATTTCTCAAGATATTAATATACGAAGGAATTGTTCAGATCTGCTTACTATAGCATAAATCTGCTTTACAAACTGAACGATTGGAATCTAGTGCTGGTATGAAAAAATTTCGCATTTGACAAGAGCAAAGCTGCAGATTTGAACCATTTGCGTTGACTTTTCTGCACTAATTCTAAAAATTGTTGGCAATTTATGCATTTATTTCCTTATTTTGATTTAGCCATCTGATATTTATACATTTGTGATATTTTTTTTTGTAGATTGCGTGACATTCGTATAAAATCTAGCGTACTGAATTCAGATGAACACAGGGAAATATCGTTTGAACTAAACTGGGACATAAATCGCGATCCTTCGCAACGAATATTACTTTTTTTGGATTGCAAAACGCCCTCAATTAATGAACGTAATAGTCAAATTTTAATAACGTATCCTGGACGCACTATTACATGCCTTTGTAATACCCAAACCCGGTGGCCGGAATATTATGGACATTTTTATACTTCGTGGGATATCAATGAAGCAATTAATGTAAAATACAGTCTCGGCCTTGGGTCTGGACAAAATAAAAGTAATTGGCTTCATGCTGAGGTTCACACACCTTTCAATGGTTGGAATGTAAACACCTTCGATGCAAGTTTATCTAATTTTTACAGTCTATTATTAGCCAATACATCGATAATGTGGGGTAAAAATGAGCACATTGAACTTGTTTACAAATATGATGTTCTGGAAAATATTGATATTGGTTTTGGCTTAAATAGCTCGCTTTTAGAAGTGCCATCGATAAGTTTAAAAATACTTCATTTGTATAATGGAAGCAAAATAGATACAGATTTAAGTTTGCATTACAGTAGCTTAAATGATACTAAAGCATATTGTTGGAATTCAAAATGGGAGTTAAGAAAAGGCCTTTACTACCAGAACATCAGTGGTACAATTTTTGTAATCAGTCCGCATAAAGAGTTTTCGAAAGGCGGTTTAGTTACAAAATGGAGCCTTCATAACAAAAGAAATTTAATCGGCGCAGCTTCAATAACATATAATTTACGAGAAATCTCTTTAACTATGAATGGTTATGTTAATAAATTTAATGATAATATGATTACTATTAATATAACAACTCCATTAAACGAATACCGCAATATAAAAGGTCGATTCGGTGTAATAGAAAGAAAACGCAACGTTGTTGCAGAAATTCAAACACCATCCACAGCTCTTGGAATTGAGGTTTTACTTGATATTGAATCTCTTGCTAATTTTGATGTTAAGTTTAGTGTAGCAACACCCATTGAAAATGTAAAACATGCTGCCTTGTACGCGAAACTTAAAAGAGATGCTGTAGATATGCGAGGCATATGGAATAATATTACGATTGGTTTCACCGGAGTTTCCTACATGAACGATTTAACAGATTTTGAATATTCTTGCAAGGTATATACTCCTCTTAAAGACTTTGAGGAAAACGGGTTTGTCGTTAAGTTTTTAAAAGCAGATTCATTTGCACTACATTTACATTCAAGACTTTCACGATATGAGTGTGGTATACAAATAAATGGAAAACCTAAATCGGTTATTTTAAAAGAATTAGATACCGAAATGGTTGATCTCGAAACAAGATTTGATGAAAATTTCAAACCTCCGAAAATTGACCAGAAAGACTACAGTAATATTGAAAATTTCGAATACGAAGAATTTTTTTCTTATAACATAGACTTTCTCATCGATTTACTCGTCTGGCCTGCCGTTGAAGGCATCCTGGATATTGAAGAAATATTAGACTATTATTTTATCAATGGGAACATTAAACTTCCACAAGGCATTGTAGATATACAAAATAATCTATATTTTCCAGATTATTTACATATAATTAATGTACTGAATTTGGTAACACCTTTCGATAGTACAAAAAAAATAATATTGATAACGGAACATCAGGTTGACATATATTTTGGGCAATTCCATGAAAAACTGTACTGTAGTATCCACAACGCTGAAAATTTTACGAACGAAGCCGGCATTGAAGTTAATTACAATCAAATCACGGACTTAGTAAAATCGCCTGAATATTATTTAAATATAATTTTGGAAATACCATTGAAAAAAAATCTAAATGTTACTGGAAAATTGCATTTAGAGGAAAATGTATTCAATGGTAATTTGATGACGACTACAGGCAAAACATGTTTTTTGCTTACAGCAGCTGTCGAGGTAAGTGGAGTGTTATGATATAAATTAGTATTCTTATAGATAATGTACAAATATTATTGTTAAAGTCGAGTCAAATCATGTTTCAGTTTCCGAGGCGCGCTTAAAATAATCTATCCTTTAAAAAATAGTCTTTAACAAGTAAAAAAGGCTTTAGTTTGGGTGCAACCGAACATTTTACACTCTTGCAGGAAGCAAAGCCGGGGAAAAACCTTACGATGTAAAACATCGTACGAAGAATCGGAGTCTAAGAAATTTTATATATACAACTTAACTTATACACTGACCCACATATTCGGCATAAGATTTGTTAGGAAAACCAAAATTATTATACATAGCCATTATACAAAATCAGCTGTATGTTTGAAAATCTGGGTATACTGCTATGAGTAAAATACGTTCTGAGATTTTCATTGAGATAACCCAAATATTGACCGATATTGTTGTTTTATTATTCATGATGGGTTAATTCGGTTGTTGTAGCTATAGKGGTTTATGAGATATTCACATTAAACATATGAGGGGGCGGGACCACGACTACTTTTTAAAATTTTTTGTCCACAGGTGCCCCTAGCTACTACGATCCCTTGTGCCAAATTACAGTTTTATATCTTAATTTAATCCTTAGTTATGTCACTTTATAAGTGATTGTGTCCTATCTACGCTCATCAAGATATCTAAATTTTTACTCAAGATACAGCTAGCACGGACAGACCGACAGTCAACCGGATTTCAACTTTTCTCGTCACCCTGAGCATTTATATATACATGTATAACCCTATATCTAACTCGATTAGATTTTTGTGATACATACAACCGTTAGGTGAAAAAGATTATAATACTCTGTAGCAACAATCAATCGTTCCAAAAACACAATAAAACTAATTGCGTTCATCATATTCGTAGAAAATTTGTTTGATCAATTCGAGTACCGCTCAGCGCCAACTGATTTGATGCAACATGAGCAATTTATTCCTCGGCAATCACGATCGAGTAAACGGTATGGCTGACTTCGGTTCAGATCGTTTCATCTCAGTTCATAGCGTTGCCACGATTGCTGGAATGGAACGAATGTGTGACTGCGGGTAAGCAACGAGTACAGTAAATTCTCTGCTGGATTGATTTTAATCATGTGTGGCAAAAAATGTATGAACTTTGAACATGTAAGTTAATAAACACATATTTATTTCAACATAACAACAATCATTGCTGCAATGTTGTTGTTAAAGTTGAATAACATAACCAAACATCCGCTGCAACTCCCAAAATTGATGACATTATTGCTGATAATAATATCAACAACAATAATCAACTTGAATTCTGCTGACCATTCAACATCCGTTAAACTCTGCCGACTCCGCTGCCGTTGACCCACAGCTAGCTTAGGCTATTTTTAAGATTATATGTTTCAGTTTATTTTAAAAACTCAATAAAGAAGAACTTAACTTGTACGCGTAAAAACGTCTGTCATCATATGGTATAAGTACATACATATGCATGTACATTAGGGGTGTCCTTATTTTCAAACATCGGTTTTCTATATATTCCCGGCCAGAAATCGGTTCCTTTATGTATTTAGATAAAATGGTAAAAGTTTGGGGTCAATGCGATAACATTTAGTGGACCCGGAAGCTAGCTGAAAAATTCAATAGGTCAGTATGGGCAAATATCAATGTTCATACATACATTTGCCTTATATTAGACGCAGTTTTTATAGTATATTTAACAAAACATGTATATATACAAAAATAATTATTCCATTTTTGTATTCTTAATCGGTAATAACATTTAAAATAATTGTGATAATTTTTTGTATTTAAAAAAAAAAGGCATGCAACACAAGCTTGGTATTTTGCAAACTTACCGAAATTTGTTTCTATATTTAGAGCGCGGTTTGTAGGCAAACAAATTTCCTGAGAAAAAGTGAACTGTGTAAGTCGTTCAGAAAATAAAATAGTAACTGCTCATAACGGGACATTTCTGCTGTGAAATATTTCCAAAAGCATGCAAGAGGTTCTTGTGCATATTGTGATTTTAATAAGTAAATATAATTGCAAGCGTTCACAAGCAAGAACTAACAATTATTTTAAAGAATAAATAAATTGTTTGAATTTCTGTGGGCGGTTGTGTTTAAAGTGTAAAAAGTGATGTATATAAAATAAACTATTATGTCCAGTTTAGCAGCACGAATGTCAGTTGCCAATTTAAGAAAAGTTAGTTTGATTGGATACACAATGCATCAAATTACAGGTGCAAAACTTCCATCTAATCGGCAGGTTTCAGAAGTTTTGTTTTACAATATGAGATTTGTAGATCTTTCAGCAAAGGAAAGCGCAAAACTTGCTATCAAAGCAGCACAACTATTTTGGGAACAAGCACGAATATCGATAAGAAAACAAGGTAAATGTGTTGAGAAGTTATTGAAACTGTACGGAAGTTGGAAAAAAAATCCTGAAAACAGTTCCAGAAAAGAGATCCAATTCACAAGAAAAAGTCGTTGATATGTTTGTTGGAAGTTTGGATGATTTATTTGACATGGCCACTGCTAATGTGCTTGAAAAAATGAAGTTAGTAGAAGATAAGAAATTTCTTGAAATGCAACGTCAAAAAGGACGGCCAGGTTACATGATGGGTGTTGATAAGGTTTTGTACGATCGTGAAGTGCGTGCACAAGAAAGACAGGAGAAAGCAGCATTACGAAAAAGGCGGTATGAAGAACAAAATTCTGAAAGTTCTAATATAATCGAGGAAAGCATTGAAAATGATATAGTACTTGTGGAAGCTGGAAATGAAAATGTAGTAATTCCGTTGGAAAAAAATTGTTTGCAAACTGTGTGTAAAAAGCGAAGAGGCACTAAAAGTATCATAACACCACAATTGTTAGCAGCATTAGACAATGCCAAAGTGTCAGATGGTATGGCCGTACATACATATTTTAGTAGCCGCTGCTGAAGCATTGGGTCATTGTGTGGAAGAACTTGTTAGTAATCGATCAACAAGTCATCGTATGCGTCAACAAAATCGGTCTGCAGAATTCAAAGATATTTCTACTGAATTTAAAGAAAAGCTGAGTTCCCTATAGTTAACAATGTACTTTTATTAATGTTAATTTATTCAAACACTTAACAAGGCCAATGCAAATGGAGCACTAGTTGTTCATTTTGTTGGGAAGTTCATGACAGATATAAAAGGTCGTAGTAAAGTGGAAAGAATTGCTGTTTTAATTAGCTACGATAGAACATCGAAATTTCTTGGAGCACCAAAGATACAGTCGTCGACTGGTGCAAATATTTCTGAAACTGTTTATCAGAGATTAGTCGATTGGAACATTGTTGAACTTGTTAAAGGCATATCTTATGATACAACTGCTGTCAATACTGGTGTTAAAAATGGAGCCGCAGTCCTTTTGGAAAAAAAACTGCAACGCAATCTCACGCACTTACCATGCCGTCATCATATGTACGAAATTATTTTGCGCAACGTTTTTGAATCAAAGATGATGTTAAACTCAGCTCCAGAAATACTCTTGTTTGAACGATTTGTGAAGGCCTAGCCAAACCTTAAGAAAACCTTGTTTAAAACTAGTGTTGATGATAAATATGTGGCATCAAAAATAAGCAAAGTGGAACGGGACGCTCTTGTAAGCTTCTTGCAGGACCAATTAAAAAAATCGCGTAGCCACGATGACTACAAAGAAATGCTACAACTTGCTTTAACTTTCCTTGGTGCAGATTGCTTTAATTTATGTGTTCCAGGTGCAACCAGAAACGCATGGCAAAAGCAATCTATTGTCTCAAAATATATTTATTACGTGATCAGTTTAAACTTACAACCAGGGAATTGAGTAGCATCCGCGATATTTGTATTTTCATTGTTAAAATGTACATCAAAAGTTGGTTCGGAAGTACAAATGCGAATTCAGCACCTAATCAAGATCTTTTCTTTATTAAAGACGCTCTAAATTATACAGATACAAATTCAACAATTTCAGAAGCTATTATTAAAAATATGTCTAACCACTTATGGTACATCGCCGAAGAAGAATTTTTTGACTTATCAGTTACCCACGYAGAAAAACGTAAAATGATAAAACAATTAAAAAGCAAGGAACCAGTTGTTGATTTAAAAAATAGCCGAAGCCACTCAAAATTGACAGATTTTCGAACTTACGAACTTAGCGATTTTGTTTCAGAAAAGACAAATTTTTTCAAAAATTTTGGGTTATCTTCAGTCTTTTTGGGCATGGATCATCCATCCCAATGGGAAAATAATTCAGATTTCGAAATTAATTGGACCTTTTGCCGCAACTTAAAGTTGTTAATAATCACTCTGAAAGAGGAATCGTATCGCAAAAAATACAAATCATACAAAAAAATTGATTTAATGTAAAATATAAATTTAAATATGTAATATGTATGAAAAAAATAAAAATGTAGAATATTTGCCCATACYGACTATTAAATTTTTCAGGTGGCTTCCGGGCCTACGAAATGTTATCGTATTGACCCCAAATTTTAACTGTTTACTTTAAATACATAAAGGAACCAAATTCTGGCCTTGAAACTGTAATATAAACGTTTTGAAATTTCCCTTACAAGTAAGGACACCCCTAATGTACATATATGTATGTATATTTGCCACCATCACGAGTGAACGAATAAATCAGTGTAAAGGGGATGGTATACGAGTACAACCCGAACACTGTCGAACATTTCCATCATCGAATATGAGTGTGAAACATTTACGGATATTTTCTGCTAAAGCGAACGTTCATAAGGAAATCATGTAAAATCTGATCACTACTGATTTAAATTTGTTCTCTATTGCTATGTKCAACATAAGTATGCTTAAGAAAATAACCCATATTATTTATTTAAGATATTTGGCTTTTCCTTCAATTAGCATAATGTATCCTAGATAGCAGAATCTGTATGGACTTAATGTCGACGAATAAAGTGGCGCGCCGCTTTAATGACTTGGCTTTTCGATATTTTTATACTCTT